GATGGGAACTCAGCTTTCCTCATCACTGGAGGAGCTCAGGACCTCACTGTTGCTGAACATGGCTATAGTACTTTTGGGGGAGCTCTGGTTCTTACCTTGAGTACTGCTTCCTGGCTCCAGTTCAGATCCCTCAGCTTGTGAACACAGATCCTTTCTCCTGCTGGCATAGACTTCCTAGCTTCCACTGCTGACCTTTGGGCCTTTCCAGCTCAGATCCGTGGAGCAGGCCTGCATGAGGCTCTAAGCCTCCAGATGGACTTGTGAGAGGCATTGTTATGAGCTCTAGGTTTTCAGCTGGGCTCATGCAGGATATTGGGATCTAGGCCTTCAGCTGGAGTCTTTAGTGTTCAGGTGTGTGAACAGAGCTCCTGCATTTCTTACATGATTCTTGGGTGACTCATTATAAAATACTATTATAAAATGTGTCTTGTATTATATTGTTCCCCTTGCAAGAACCCCAAACTACGGCAGTCATTCTGACTTTGTGGACCAGCCAGAAATCATGTGGTGCCACACCCAGTGAATAAGGTAAATAACATGTCTTTATAGTTAGAAGGTGCTCAGCAGCAACATTTACTATATTTTTATGACACCTTGTAAAGACAGACAGGAGGGCTGGGGAGATAGCTCAGCAGCACAAGTGCCTGCCTGGCAAGTTAAGGTCCTGAGTTCAATTTCCATTACAAAAAAAAAGACAGGAAAGAAAACTTCCAGAACTACTTCAGACAGTGGCAAGAAGGATGGGATGAGTGTGTTCGAAACAAGAGGGAGCATTTTGAGGGGTAGTTAATGGCAATGTATTTTTTTACATTGTAATAAAATTTTTAAAAATTTAAACATTTACTGTATATTTGAGTCATCCTTGTTTTTTTTTGCTAAATACAGATTAACCTTCATCATTTAAAAGCCGTATAGCAATCCGCTACTTGAATACAACATAATTTATTTTACATGACATCTTTAGAGGGACTGTTAGGTTTTTTTAGTTACTTTTGTATTATAAACAGTGCTGTAGCAGATACCCATATATGTTTGTGAGCTTACATCTGTGGAAGTAATGTGTAGGAATAAAATAACTAAATCAAAAGGCTTGATCATTTAAATTTTCATTTTGCCAAATTTTCTTTGAGTAGATTATAATGTTTCCATTATGAGTGCCTATAAGTATTCATGTTAAGTATTCATGTTTTTAGGTTTTTCTTTTTCTTTTTCTTCTTTTGTGGTACCAGGGATCAAATTCAGGACCTTGTGCTTGCCAGCCAGGTACTTATGCTATTGAGCCATCTCCTGGCCCTTTTGATTTGTTTCTAATTAGGAAATATTTTATTTTTATTTGCTCATCAGTAATAGGGAAACATATTTTCATATCTTTCTGGCCATTTGTAATTTCTTTATTTTTTTCCTTTTAAAAAGATGGTATCTTGCTGTGCTGCTCAGGCTAACCATGAACTCGTAGGCCCAAGTGATCCTATAGCCAGTCTCCCAAGTAGCTGGGATTATACAGATATGCCACCATACTTGATTTATTTGTATTTTTCTCTGGGGAGTTACTTAGTCATCTTTTCTATTTAAAAAACAAACAAAAACTAAAACACTGTATTTGTTTAAAGGTTGATTTGTAGTACTTTCATAGTAACCTTTTCCAAGGCATTGAGTGCCTCCTGTGTGTTTATGCAGGGAATACTGATAAACAAAATATAGATCAAAATATATTCTAATAGGACAAGCGTTGAACAAATGGCCAGCTGTTCAACTGTGTCATTAAAATTTGACCAGCACTTGGGAAAAAGTGAAAGTCTGAGCTGGAGAAATAAGAAGCATTTGTGTAATATCTTTGAAGTGAGGAAGGTCACATGGCATGGAGAGGTTAAAGTGACAATGAGGTACTGGCCACAGTTCACATAGTAGAAATTATAGGTGGAAAAGTAGGTAGAATCCAGATCTTCCAGAACTACAAGGCTGGGCTGATCTGGGCTTTTGTTCATCATCAGGCTGTTGCAAAGTTTGGAAGCTTTATAGGCTGCTGCAAAGTGCCAAGTGAAATTTGCCTTTTACTCAGATGAATTTGTATGTAGTATAGAAGGGGCTACAGGTGCTGCAGGGAGAACGAATGGCAGATGGAGGAGGAGATAGGGATGACAGAAGGCAGAGGCAACAGTTTTGCAATGAGGAGGATGGTGGTTTAGATCACAGGCAGCCACTTGGTTGTGGAAGAAAGTAGGGTATCAGGGAGGGATGGTTCCCCAAGAAACCATGGTAATGTCATTATGGCTGATTCTTTTTGGCTGGTGGCCTGTGTTGATGGTGCGTATTTAAATTACACAGATGTTTGGTTTTGTTCTGAGGTTAATCAGTGAAAATATTTTCTGTCATCATGCTTGCCTCCTTTGTGGTTTGGATATAGATGTCCCAACAGAGACTTGTGCAGTCACATAGATGGGGCTTTTCATTGGTGGATGGATCTAGGGTGTGTGATGCTAGATTAAGGGTGCATGATTACTCAACTAGTCCACTGATTGGTTGGGCATAGTTCTGGGTGTGGATAATCAGAAGGCCCGCCCTGGATGTGGGTGGCACCACCCAAAGGTGGGTAGGCTAAAAGGGAGAGGCAGGCAGCTGCTGCTGCTTCTTCCTTGCTTTGCTGGCTTCCTGCCTTCTCACCATGAACTGTTTTCTCCTCTGGTTTGCCACTTGGCCATACCCCCTGCCTTGGAGCCATGCTGCTATAGCCTGCCAGCATTTTTAACATTTATTAATTTAAGATACTGTGTTAGCTTTGTTTCTGTGATGAAATAGCTGACATAACCTACTTATGAGGAGAAAGATTTTATTTTGGCTTGTTATGGTTTGGGTCTAGTTGTTCCCCCCAAAGCCTCATGCAGTCATGGGACAGCTTTTGGAGTTTGTATTGGACTGATTATTCTGGGTGTGAATTCTGTGCTCCCCCCCTCAGGTAATTTGTGTTACAATGTAAAGGGGGGAGAGAAACTAGCAGCTGCTGGAGGTGCTACCTCTGCCCTTTGCTCTCTGCTCTTTGCCACCAACATGGATGACTGCTCTGTGCCATGTGCCACTCTCTCTTGGGGCCAGCTGAGCATGAACTGAAACCTCCACTAACTGTGAGCTAAATAAACCCTTACTTTTTTCATTTTGGGTGTCGGGTATTTGTCCTAGCAATGAGAGAAGAGTAATCGAGACACGGTTCTTGGTTTCTGAGGTTTCAGTTCATGGTATTTGGCCCAATTTCTTTGAGCCTAAGAAAGATTAAAAATCATGGTGGAGAATATGTGATAGAGAAAAGCAGAGAGAGAGAGAGAGAGAGAGAAAGAAATTGAGATCAAGATCCACTAATGGGGTTAGTGCTGTCATGATCTGCTCGCCTCTCTAGGCTCCACATCTGAACCTTGCTGCGCTGGGAATTGAGCCCTCCATACACGAGTCTTTGGGAGAACACATCATGCCCAATCCATGCACATAGGGCATGTATTTTCTATATGTCCATGAACTTGAGACTTTGATAAATTACACCTTGCTGATTATCTGACTTATTCTGTTTATTTTGGTTTTGTCTCCTTTTTAGTTTAGTTTTTAACTGTAAGCTGCCATAAATCTTGAAACTAGTCAGTTGCCTAAGAACATTAATTAATCACAATAAATTTCTCAGCCCAAATGGCAAGAGTTTGATAGAGCTTCTTATACTTCAGTTGATGTCAGCTTGTATAATTATGTACAGAACAATAGTAGTATACAATCAGAGACATTCTGTAACTTTTCTATAATACCTCTTTAGGCATACAACATATTTAAAATTTATATGTTGTATGCCTAAATAAATAGGTATTCTTGTTCTTTAGGTTTTCTGTTAGCTGTTTTGTTTTTCCCTTCATTGTCATGAATTTAAATGACCTTTATTTTTACTTATTTATTTTGTGGAACCGGGGATTGAACTGGGGCCCTTGTGCTTGCCAGGGAAGCGCTTATTCCACTGAGCCATCTCCCCAGTCTTACATGACCTTTAATTGATTGAAATCTACTGAAACAATTTTTTTGAATTTTATTTATTTATTTATATTTTAATTTTGTTGAGAAACAGCATGAGACAGTTTCAAAACTGATTAATAAGACAGTTCAATAATTAATACATTGCATATTATTATCTTCTTAGTGGTTATTCATAGTATACGATGTAGACATGATAACCTGTCCAAATACTATTAGTACAAATCTTCTCACTGAATTAAAAAAATGTAGCTGTATATCTATCCTATTTTGTATATACAGACACAAAATGGTTCTTCATTTGTATCCCCTTTTTTTTGTTTAGTTTTGTTAGAGATGGGCATTCCATTGCCATTTAAGTATTGTAGGTGTGTGAATTCAGAAAAACAATCCAATATAGTCCAGTAGTCCATAATAGTAGTGGGTTATCTGTAGGACAGGCAGTGTCAGAAGTTGTTGACTTGAGCCTTTCACAGCTCAGCATATTAATATGGCTTTACTTTTTACACCTTTCTGCTTGTTAAGACCAAGATAAAGCAAGACCTATATAACAAGAAATGTATCTTTTGTATCTGATAAGGTCAATCAAGTCCCCTCAGGATTTATCCTGTTACCCTATACCGCAGTTTGCAGATCCTGTGTCAGTGTCAGCCATGTGGATGAGTCACGACCATTGCTTGACCAATTTGCTCTCTGTGAAAGCCTGAGAGAATTTTTTCTCTCCATGTGACTCTCCTTAGGCACACACTATGTCATCCATCACATTGCTCTGTGGCCCATAATCTTGATCAGAAAATTTGGGACACCACTGAGTTACATGATGTTACAGTACAGGTTCTTCTATGTCCTGAGTCTTCACTGACCTTGAAAGGCTAGGGCCAAAATGTTGGCTGTACTTGCAGCCCTTCTTTTTCTCTAATTTTTGGCCTGCAAACTTAGGTTGTTAACCCTCCAGAAGAGAAGCTTATTATTACCCTACAACATACACAGTTGTGTTTAACCTCACTGTCTGAATATCAAACATTTTAGGCATAACATGGAACAGGTATTTTCCATGTGTTATTGATATGTTAAACTTTAAGTCTCTACAGAATATGGAGGAAAAAAATTAAAATAAATAAATTTAAAAATATGAATAAATAATTCCATATTTTTACACAGAAATTTAGAAATCTAATCATATGCAGCATTGTAGCAGGACAGTCCTGTGACATTTTTTTTCTTGTCTCTTTTTTTCATTTATTACCTTTTTTTTTTAAACAAACTTTTACTTGAGAGACAGTATGGCAATAATTGGTATGTCATGACAAGCAGTACGTATTTAGAGGTATTGAAACAATTAATAAACTTTTTTGAGACAGATCTTCCTATGTGGTGCAGGCTGGCCTTGAGCTCACTTGTGTAGCCCAGGAAGGCCTCAAAGTCATGGTGAGCCTCCTACCTAAGCTTCTGAGTTCTGGGATTGCAGGAATGTGCCACCATGCCCAGTTTAACTTTTGATTCATATTTTGCTAGATAGTTTGAATTTGGTCCTTTTAATCTTAGAGGATAGAAGTTGTGATGAAAGAAGGTTTAGAGAATCAGTGCATGTCAAGTAACCAAATAGATTAAAAGAGGAATTTATTGATTAGAATTAAGCAGCAGATGGCAAGCATTTCTCTGAATCACCAGAGAATTTTGTAAACTCAAAGGATGGAAACTAAATTTGAACTTTGCCTTTGTATTTGAATGAAAATACCTTTCATCAACATTCTTTGTGTTGATATTTTTGGTTCTGTTTTCTTTCACTATTGTATAATAAATTTTAAAATTAGAGTATTAAGTACTAATATTAATATTACAATATCTTTTAAAAGGTATTTCACTATAGTCCTGAGGCACAAACTTAGTTTTTAATCAATTTTTAATTTACAGCATCTATGAAGTAACATGATGTCTCCTGGGAGAAGACCCGATTTGGCCAGCTTTTTTTTTTCTTTTTATGTATTTGGTAGTGTTTCACTGTGTAGCCCAGACTCATAGTGATCCTCCTGTTTCATTCTCCCCAGAACTGGGATTACAGGTGGGAGCTACCACACCTGGTCTTGGTGGTCAGCTCTGTGCCTGGGGCAGGGTTGGCATGGCATGCGGTACCAAGGATTGGACCTGGATCCTTGAGCTTACCTAGGCAGGCATTTACACTGCTGAGCTATCTCTGTGGCTCTAAAAATGCTTTTACTCACTTAATTTTAAAAAGTATGAAGGAATTCCCATATATACTACTCAGTAGAGGAAATACTACATGAATGTTCAGCTGTGTGATTCCTAAAATGCAGATCTCGATGAATAAGGATTATTAACTGTTTCAAATTGCAGGTCCCAAAAAAGTTTTAATATTATTTCACTCCCTGTGTTATAAAGACACAAATGGAAAGGTCACCAAGATAAATTGTTAAAAAATGTTCAAGATAGTACATGTTTTATACCATCTTCTATTTTAATGTATTTTTATATTTATATTTGCTTGTTATGTGTCAGTGTGACTTTGGATGGCTGGCCAGATAGCTTAGCAGACTAAAGCACCTGCTTAGGCAGAGCATAGCAGATCCTGGTGTGCTGTACTGGTCCCGCCCCCAGGGCATGGTGAAATGTCCACTGAGACTGGGCGTGGTGGCCCACACCTGTAATCCCAGCACTTGGGAGGCTGCAAACAGGAGGATCACTACGAGTCCAATCTGTGTAGTGAGACCCTGCAGACCATGTACTAAAAATACATAAAATTAAAAAAATAAAGTAACTTTGGAAGGATCCAACAAAAAGTCAATAAAAATGATTGCTTGTAATATTAGGACATAGTACTTGTGGTGATGCACCCCTGTAATCCCAGCGCTGGGGAGGCTAAGACAGGTGGGTCACTCTGAGTCTGAACTGCATAGGGATACCCTGTACCAAATAAATAAATAAATGATTTTTTTAAAAATGATTTTTTTTCTTTTATTTTTGTTTTTTGTTTTTGGTGGAACCAGGAATTGAACTGAAGCCCTTGTACTTGCCAGGCAAGCACTTACTCTACTGAGCCATCTCCCCGGTCATGATTTTTTCTTTCAAAGAAATTTTTGAGATGTGAGTACATTAAAAATTAATATATTATGTTTTTTTAACCCAAGGCTTTTGCACTGAGCTACCGCCAAACTTTTTTTTGAGAAAGAATTCTGCTAAGATGCTCAGTTGCCCAGGCTGGGTTTGAGCTTCTAATCCTCCTGCTTCAGCCTCCCGGAGTGCTAGGATTATAGGCATGTACCTCCAAGCTCATTTCAAAAAATTATTTTAAAATTAAATTGAATACAAAATTTATAGTTTTCAAGTACAGTACAATCGCAGTTATTTTCCTAAGAAAATCTGTAAGTTAAGGTAGTCTTTTGATTGTTTTGAAGGAGTTTAGACTAAAAGATATGAGGAAATGTCAGAGATAATGCTAATCTGAGAGTTACAGAATCTTACATATTAAAGGGTAATACTTGATCCATGACCTTCACAGGGTTAAGACTTCTTTTTTCCTATGTTTGTACTGAATGGGAGAGTGATTATTTTATTGTAATCTTTTGTTTTTTCTTTCTTTTCCCCTACCCCTTTTAAAGGCTGGTGGGGTGGCAGGTGCCTCTGTTGACTTGATACTGTTTCCTCTGGATACCATTAAAACCAGGCTGCAGAGTCCCCAAGGATTTAAAAAGGCTGGTGGCTTCCGTGGTATATATGCTGGTGTGCCTTCCACTGCGATTGGATCTTTTCCTAACGGTAAATATTTTATTGATGTTTTTCACTGCTGTAACATCAAGATAATGGAATTTACTTTTACAATTGTATATGCATGTTGAAATTAATCTTCTGAAGTTATTTTCTATTCTTTAATTACTTACTTTTGAATAAGTAGATTCCATTCCAGTATGCCTGTAATAAAAAAATGAGTAATCTTTAAACTTAGTTTTGGTGTTAAGATTCTTATTGAATCCTTAAAATTTTATGTTAACATCAGTTTGATTAGAGCTGTGATTCTGAACCTTGTCTTTCCACTGGAATCTCTTGCGTAGATTTGAAAAATAAGAATGCCTGTAGAAATATAATTGGTCTGAGTTTGCCTGATTATCAGGAGTTTTGATAGCTGCCCAAGTGACTCTAGTGTGAAGTCAAAATGGGTAATCATGGCCTTGAGGAGGCTTGTGAACAGATAAGTCTAAGAGGCATTCGGTTATTTGATCTTAAATTGCTCTTAGGTGAGCAGGTGTTTCTCATCAATATTTTCCTGGCTACTCCTAGTTTTGGTTTTAAAGTCATGTGACTTAAGGACACACCCCCCCATATAATTAGTATCATCTATTTATTTAATTTCCTTTTTGGTTTGTTTTCAGATACTTACCTCATTTTAATTGTTCACTCATGATGTGTGTATATGTGTGTGTGGGGGGATGCACTGGAGGGGGAATCCAGGGCGTGAATCACTCTAAGCAGGTGCTGTACCACTGAGCTACACTATGTCCCCAGACCATGAGGCATGCATCTGGTGTTGCGCCAAGGTAAACTAGGCCAGCAAGCAAAACTCACAACACAAATCTAAGTCATGGCTCTAGGAGTTTTATAAATTCTGGAGTTTGAATTCTCTTTTTTTTTTTTCAGGACAGTTCACAGGTATTTTTCTTCTTATAGTAACCTGATATTTATACACGCCGAATCTTTGGGCATAGATTTCACATAAGATTTGGAAAGAGAAGTATAGTGTTTCCATCTTTTGTTTATCTTTTTTCCTGCCCCCCAAATCTATAGAAAAGCAAACTGTTCTGGGCTCGTCCTTGAACTTTTTCATGTCTTAGTTACTTTTCTCTTAGTGCTGAGACAAAACTACCCAATACCCAAAGTTAAAAGAGGAAAGATTTATTCAGCTCAGTTTGTAGAGATTTCAGTCCATGATCAGCTGGCTCCAACATAGGGTACTACATGGTGGAGGTGCAATAGTTTATGGCAACAGAAGATTGCAAAGGCAGACAAAAACAACAAGAGGAGGGAAGCCTTTTTGTCCCTTATATTGTGTACAGGCTACCCACCCTAGAGCGAGTGTAACACTCACACTTTTTTTTTTTTTCTTTTTCTTTTTGTATTTTAGGACAGGGTCTACAGGGTCTTACTGTATAGATCAGACTCGTAGTGATCCTCCTGTTTATAGCCTCCCAAGTGCTGGGGTTATAGACGCCTTGCCACCATGCCCAGTCTCTCAGTTGCTGTCTCAGTTCCCCCCGGGCGTGGGGCCAGGGGTCGAACTCCAGCCCCACTCCCCACCCCCTGTGTCCGCCTAAGCAGGCGCTTTAATCCACTGACCTATTTGGCTGGCCCTAACACTCACACTCTTAATCCTACCGGAACTATACCAAACCAATCAGTGGACTGATTTACTAATTGCACACCCTTAATCTCAGTTTGGCATACTAGACTCAGCCATTTCTGAGAAGCCCTACAACTGCATGGGGCCTTGGGGGATCATCTAGACAAACCAAAACAGCTTTCAGGAACTTGTTATAACAAGTCCTTGTCCGGCCCCCACTCTGTCTAGCATGGCTTAAGTGTTGGAGAGCGCATGCATTTGTACCAAATTTGTCTGTATTAGAATGACTTGATCATAAAGAGCTTAACTGCAGATGTCTGTGGCCAGCCTTTAGAGACTGTGACTCAAGCTGTCCAAGGCATGTCCTGGGCATTGGCAGTTTAAAAAAGTTCAAAAGTAATTCCAGTATGCAAACTAGGTGAGCTAAGGGATTATCCAAGCTAAATAATTTTCTTTTGGTGACCAGTTTTTAAGGTAACCAGTTCACATAGACTTATTTTTCTTTTGCATATTGCACATAAGGATTATTGTGAGTAGGCAATATTACTTGTAATATAGGATCATGCTATCATTAAGATCATAGGGCTATTTTATATGCTTCTCCCCGAAGTTCAGACACAAAATGCGATTCATTCTCCCCTCTCCCTCTCCCTCTTGCCTCTCCTCTCCCTCCGTCCCTCTGGATTGCTCTCACTCCCTCTCCCCCTGTGTGAGTGAAGGTGGTGGTGGTCTTGCTTTACTTTCCTTTTTGATCACTCATAGAACTTTGAGTAAAGTAGGGGCTGCAGAGAGAAAATTCAAATCCTAGAGATTCAGAAATGGCTTTGTCTTTCTACAAGTGTTGAATGAACTGAATTTTTCTTGGTGGTGGAGGCTGCTCCTCCATCACCACCTTCCCCATTTGTTTTTTTATTCAACCTGGCGATGGAGTATGGGACCCTGTACCACTGACCTACATCTCCAATGGGGACCCTGTACCACTGACCTACATCTCCAATGGGGACCCTGTACCACTGACCTACATCTCCAATTGCTCCTTTTTAAAATTCTTCAGATGGGGGTCTCACTAAACTGCCCTGGTGGGAATTGCACTTGGGATGCTCTTGCCTCAGCCTCCTTCTGTGCTCAGATTACAGGCATGTGCCACTATGCCCAGTTCTTTCTTTTGATGGTGGTTAAAGTTCTAGTCTTAAGTATAAAACACCACTGTAATCACAGTGGCTGGTGACTTTTTGAGAATGGATTCTACAGAGGTGAGCAGTAAAAGGGACTGAAGATCAAAAGAAGAAAAGAAAAGGGAGCATTATTCTCTTTCTAGAAGAGAAAGGAGAGAAAACATTTGTTCCATTTTTATTTTGAACTAGAAGAGTGTAGGAATTACCTTAGACCTTCTTAGCTTTAACTTGCTCAGAGACTCACTGGAAGCTTTCAGTACCATCATTTTAATGAGTGGAACCTCTTTGAAACACTATCTGTTGGGACAGGAGGAGGGTTAGAACTTACATTCCTAAGGACACAAAAATACATAGTCAGAAAGTTATATAAGCTTAAGGTAGTTGATTGGAAACCCAGGGACTTTTGATATGTTTTCCTTTCCCCCTGAGTGGGGTGAGGCCGGTGTGGGTTACATGTAGCTGCAAAGCACAAATAGAAATAAACTGTGTTTTCTGTGTAAGACTGCTGAGTTAGTAATTACTCATCTGTACACAACACATCTCTTTATTTGGCCTGATACATATTTGTTAGCAGCCAAGGATCCTTTATAAACTTTTTAAATGATGTTTATTATCACACTATTTTCCAGGGTGTTTCAGGCTTGACTGTGATGTATTCTAATGTCCTTCAAAAGATGAATTTGTCATTTCTTAATCTTTTGTGACTAATCTTTTCTGAACATGATAAACCTCTTTTTATTAACAGTGCATAGCAAATTTTAAAACCCTCACATGCAGGTATGATTAGTTCATGGTGATAGAGATAGCTTTTTTGAGATTTTGATTTTTGATTTTAATTAATTTATTATTTTCCTGTGAAATTGATGTAGGAAAAAATAGCCATGGTCATAATCTCTCTCAGGGTAGGGATTGTGTTTCTACATTTCTCTAAGTCCAGGCTGGGGCTTATTATATGGGCTCTGTAAATTCTGTAAGTGTGAGCATGGAAAAAGCATATGCATTTATTATATCTATCCATTGTCTCATAATTTAAAATCACTGTCAGTCTTTTTTGAGAAATAGTTTTATACATATTTTACTTTATAAAATATTGGCTTGTTTTAAATTTTAGCTGCTGTGTTTTTCCTCACCTATGAATATGTAAAATGGTTTCTGCACACTGCTTCATCTTCCTGCTGGATGCCCACACAGCATATGTTGGCTGCCTCCGCAGGAGAAGTGGTGAGTAACAAGCAGTGTTTATCAAGTACTTCAGAAATGCAAATGGTGTATGCGTTTGTAGTACAAATATTCATTGTTTACATTTAAGTTCATTTTTAAGTGATACATAAGATAGAAATTATATGTATTTATGGTGTACCATATAATGTTTTGATGTATGTATGCATTGTATAATGTTTAAATCAGGGTAAGCATATCTATTACCTCAGTATTTATTTATGATGAAATTTATTTCATTAAAAATTCTTTTTTAAATTATGAAAGTCATAAATCTCAAAAAATGTAACTGGATTAAACATGACAACCTGTAAAAGCTAAAGTTTTAGGATGAAAGAATAATCCAACTGCAACATGCAAGAGAATTCTGAAGCATAATTACACAGAATTAAAGACATGGAAAAGAAAATCCTTGTAAATTGGTTTTTTTGCTTTTATGTGAACCCAAATGAGTTAGAGCTCTTTGTCCTGTCCCAAGATTTCCTCTATAGAACAGTTTAAAGTTAAGTCAGCTACAGAGAGATTAGCCCAAGATTCATAAGGTAGAAGAGGAATTGTGGCTGTGTTTGTGCTTCAGAGGCAGGGGTAGACACTGTTGCAGCTGCAGCCTGTGTCACGGAGCTCTGCGGGATTGCTGTGTTGACCTCTGGTGCATTTCTTGAGGACCCTCTTTTTCCTGTAGCTGCTTTAAATTCTGGATCAAGTTTGTGGGCTCTGCAATGAAAGGTGTTGGTCTTTGGCAGGTTGATGAGAAATAAAAATACAATGGTGCCTTGGTTTACAGATTTAGTTTGTTATATGATTTTGTAAAAGATAGCCACATAGGGCAGGGAAGATAGCTCAGCAACTTAAGTGCCTTCCTGGCAAGCTCAAGGTACTGAGTTCGATCCTTGATACCAAAAGGAAAAAAAAAAAAAAAAAAAAGATGGTTTCATTCATGTTTGTGTGGGAAAGATGGGTACAGCTGTGTTTGTCTTCTGATTCACAGTTTACAAACAAAACATTATTTTGCCAAACATTTTTGTTAGTGAACCAAATTGTTTGCAGACAAAAGCATTTGTGAACTGAGGTACCACTTTTTGTGTTGTAGTTTTCTTCTACTTTACCACCATCTTTCATCTTGACTACCTTCTCTCTGATTTCTGTCCCAACAAGGAATACAGAAGCAGCAGCACCATCATACAAATTGACTCATCAGCGCTCATGAATGTGGCCAAATCGCTTTCATAAATCTTTTATCAACAGGATCTCAGGATAAATCCTGAGGGGATTTCACTGACCTTATCAGACCCAAAAGCTACAACTCTTGTTGCATAGGTCTTGCTTTATCTTGGTCTTAACCATCCAGCAGAAAAGTATAAAAACGAAGTATAAGAAGTAAAGCCATGCTGTTATGTTGAGCTATAGGGGATTCAGGTCAACAATTTCTGACATTGCCAGTGAAGTGGAAGACCCAATACTATTATGGGCTATTGGACTCTTTTAGAATATTTTGCTGAGTTAACACACCTATAATATTCAAATGATGGAACTAAACAAAAAAGGGGGTACAGATGAATGTCCATTTTGTATCTGTGTATTCAAAATGGTTAGGATAGATATATAGTTACATTCTCTTAATGAATAGAGGGATTTGTTGTAATAGTGTTTGTAAATAGGCTATCATGGGGGCTGGGGAGATGGCTCAGTGGAATAAGCGCTTCCGTGGCAAGCACAAGGGCCTGAGTTCAAGCCCCAGTTCCACCAAAAAAAAAAAAAAAAAAAAAAAAAAAAAAATAGGCTATCATGTCCGCATCTTATACAGCAATTAACCACTAGGAAGAATGTATGCAATGTGTTAATTATTGAAACTGTCCTACCAATTTGGTTTGAAACTGTCTCATTGCTATTTCTCAATAAGATTAAGGGAAAAAAAATAAAATAAATATTCATTCCTTTGGACTGGGGAGATGGCTCAGTAGAATAAGTGCTTCACTGGCAAGTGCAAGGATCTGAATTCAATCCCTGGTTCCACCAAAAAATAAAATAAAATGTTCCTTCCTTGAGAATCTAAAAAAATAAATAAATCTTTTATCAGCGTGTATAGTGGTTTTGCTTCTTTAATGAAACTCTAATAAATACACAATACTAACTGAAAGAAAGCTGCTAGAATAATGTTGGTATTAGACAAGAAAGACTAAACATAGAAAAGCAGAACAGAAAGACCAGTGTATAATGATACAAGGAGCAATTCTCCTGGGAGCTGTAACACATCTGGAGCTGTACTGAATAATACAGTCTCTGCTTATGTGAAGCAAAAAGGAGAGATCAAACTGTAACTTGTTGGAGAAAGTCACGTCTCTGTCTGAAAGCATTAAGACTGGGCAGCATAAACTTACTAAGGCCATGGAAGATTTAAACACCACAGTGGACTGGTCTAATTGATGACTGTAGAACTTTGCACTCATCAGTTAAATGTATGCATTTTCAAAAATATTTTGAAAGTTAATGAAAATGAACAACCCCATAATCTACAGAATAAGCTGCAACAAATGCTAGAGGCAGTATGATACAGATCATCTTGAAACAGAAATGAAATAATGTCAAAAAGATAGCCAGTCTGTCCATACCATGTGTTTAGATCAAAAAAGAAATCATAATGTAAATGATAAAATATTGTAAATAAATATATAGTTGTGGTTAAACAACCCATTAACCAGAACTAACGCAGAGGAGAAGGATATAATGAAAATGAGTTTTTCTATTCTCGCAACCTTACCTTTCTTTCTACCTTTCTTTCCTGATACTAAGATACAGCCTCTATTAATATGATATGTGTGTATCTATCTAGAAAGTGTCTACTTTTTACTAGTGTTGTTTTCAAATCTCTGTAGATTTACCTAAACTCCTAGCCTTGCAGTAGGTGCCTACCAGGGTTGGCTACATGTTGTTCCTCAAGTAACATCTTTTCTTTTTTCTAATTAGAAAACTAGTCCTGGCCAAACCAGACCTGCCCTGAAGGCAATGTGAGTGCTGCCCCCCTCCAAAACAAAACAAAAAAACTAGTGCTGTGTTTATATTGGAAAACCAAAAAACCATTATAAGGTTAATGTAAAAAATAATTGTGATATACTATAGTTTTGTTTTCTGTGTGTTTTAGGAAATTTGTACGACCTATAAACAGTTTTGTAATGTAACATTCTTTGGTTAAGTGAATTGGGGTTAAAGAAAAGGGAGATCCTAATAGAAAAATAAAAGTATTAATTTTAAGAAGGTAATTTTTTAAAATAACAGTTTTATTGAGATATAATTTATATACCATATAATTCACCCACTTAAAATATACAATTCATGGGACGGGGGAAATGGCTCAGT